CAGCAAACGCAAATATGCTGAACGGCCTATAGTTCACCCTTGCTGAACGTAGCCTGGGCCGGCGAAACCCCGGTGTATCGCGCCGTCCCGACACATTGTAGGGATGCGAGTTCAACGGTCTAACGACTTCGGCATGCACGACCATGAGTACCCCACCCCCCCTTCCGACTGTCCCAGCGTGATGGCTAAGATTCCCAACGGTTCGGCGGTGGTTTTCATCCTCGGAGAGATCGACTGCCGCGAGGGAATCCTTGTTGCCGTGGAGAAACTCCGCTACAAGACGGCCGAGGAGGGCATCGAGCACACGGTCGGCATCTTCATCAAGGTAAGGCTATGTATGTGTTCGTCCTGGCTGTTTTGACAGCAGTTTACGCACCTTGCGGCGTACGTTTCCGATGTATCAGCCGGGGTCAAACATGTGTCAATGAAGCTCACGATGCTGTACGTGGAAGTGGGACATCAAACGCCGCTGTGCTGTGGTCGGCGGCGTACGTTGAGTTCGAACGTTGTAGCCCTCTCGTCTGTAGCTAGCTAAATTTGTCGAGGCGCGCTGCGAGGACGTGGATGTCTTGCTCGCGCAGTTTTTCCTTGGTACGGCAGAAGTACAGTCGCACATTGCTAGTTGCCGCTGTTGATGGCACACTGTAGATCTCTTTGTCCAAAGAGTCCGACCTTCGAGAACGGCAACATGGTGTGAATGCCTTTGCTACAAATATCTCTCTCCTCCCGACCAGGTGCAGGGGGTAGATGGCAGCAGTCCAGGCCGTACTCTTTGTGTGCTTCGCGGCGTAGGCAACAGCAGCCGTGCACCCCGCTTTCGCTAACTTCACCCCCATACCCCCCGTCCCCTCTCTAACGAGGTGGCCGAGGCCTTGTCGCGGGAGCGGGGGCTAAGGATCTTCGTGCACCCTGTGATTCCAGTGCTTGACGAGACCCGTGGCATGGTCAAGACCTACAACCGGTACGGGCGGGTATTGGGGGAGATGACGGGGGGCGAGACGCAAAGCGAAATGATGGGGGTGATGCGATCCGAGTCACTGCCTGTTGCATGCTTAGACTGATGGTTTGTCTGCACTGGGCATTATGGAGACGGCTTGCGCGTGTGAGCCTGGGGGGGGTGGCATCTGTAACTGTAGCATGTAAAGTTCTCCCGTGTGACTGAGGGCCTCGCGTCGAGAATGAGACGGGTCCATCGCATCTGTCCTGTTGCTGTATTGATTCTCTTCTCTCTTTCTTTTTCGATTAGCTCTTTGTAGTTGTACAGGACAGCTCCTCCGAAAACGCACAATCAACGTGGAAGTACTAGCAACTAGTCCTGAATCAAATCGGTTCTTATGCATACACCGGCGCCCTTGACGATCGCTTCTCCCTGCTGAAAACAACCTTTTCGGCCAATCTCTCCTCTCCAACACCGATGCAGCGTCTTCCGGCGCATGGTGGACAAGTCCAAGCACCTCCACTGGCTCGACTTCTTCGAGCAGCTGCTGGACGACACAGGCAGCAGCCTTCGACCAAACTTCCGCCTCGACGGCACCCACCTCGCCGCAGGCTACGTGGGCCTCCTTCAAAAGGCACTGGCGGATGCCTGGGTGGAGCGGCGGGGGGGACGCGGGGGCAAGAAAAAATAGAGGGGTGG